GAGGCACTCCTAGGCTGAGACTTCATTGTACAAAGGTCTGGATACTATGAATGTTCAGTGAAGGTACTGGTTTGTTAAAATCAGACTTAAGGGAGAAATATAGATGTTAATTGAGAAATTTTTGCTTCACTGTTGGATTAGCTCTAGAGCTACCTGAAATTCAGTTGGTAGGTTATTACTCATTATCCTATGACACTGAAAGTCAAGACTGAAGCATGTCTGTTTTGTTTCCTCTATCCTGGAGCCTTAGCTTCTCTGATAACCGGAATAACAGACATGCCACTGTGCCCACTTTGCCACAATGTACTACTTCTTGCTTGAATCACTGCTTTACTTTATCAAGTGTCTTCATTCCTTAGTTCCCATCCTCCTCCTCAAATTCTCAACCAGAGTGAACATTCCTGAAGACAAAATAGGTTTGTGCCACTCCATTGATTAAAATCCTAAGCACCATCATGCCTTAAGTATAAAATCTAAACTTCTTAATATGGGTTTGATGTTTCCTGCTTCTTTCTTTGCATTATCCAGCCACACATCCTTAGCTTTTTTTTAATTAATTTTTTTTTTGAGAGAGAGAGAGAGAGAGAGAATTTTAATATTTATTTTTAGTTTTTGGCAGACACAATATCTTTATTTGTATGTGGCTCTGAGGATTGAACCCAGGCCACACGCATGGCAGGCAAGCGCGCTACCGCTTGAGCCACGTCCCCAGCCCCATCCTTAGCTTTTTGTAGTTAGTTCCCAGAACCTTCCTAGCATTCTCTGACCTTTGCCTTTTAGGAATTTTTTATATGGAATATATTTTCCCCAGTTAATTCTGAGCAATTGATCCTTCAAAGCTCAGAATAAGTGTCATTTCTTTTCCCTACAAGACTAAAAACTAAGATTCCTTTCCATGTTCCCTCAACTGTATCCCTGTCATAGCTCCCATTACTTTGTATTTTAATTATTTTCATGGATGTTATTAATTACTTTTTTTTAAATTTTAATATTTATTTTTTAGTTTTCAGCGGACACAACATCTTTGTATGTGGTGCTGAGGATCGAACCCGGGCTGCAAGCGTGCCAGGCGAGCACACTACCGCTTGAGCCACATCCCCAGCCCCTTAATTACTAATATTATTAGTGCTTATTATAAATTTTCCCTCTTAGTTCATGGGTTTGCTCATGGTCTGAGACTGGCCTTTCATCTCTTTATTCTCAGTAAAGATTTCACAACATAGGAGGTACCCCCCAAATATTTAAATATTGAATCCCTTCATCTTATGGTTGAGAAACCAAGGCCTACAGAGATAAGCCACCTTGCAAGAGATTATATATAAAAGGGCAGAACTTACCTTTTGATCAAGTGTTGGTTTCCCTTTATCAGGAATTACTGACTCAGATGTGTTTATAAGGTTCAAATAGGTAATAAAAATGTGAAAAGTGAACTCTTCTTATCCTCTTCATTTTTTCTGGAACACATGACTCTCCTACAATATTTTACCATGTATAAAAAATGTTTTAGTATAAGTAATTCTTTATTTTCCTCTTAAACTACCACATAAGAAAAACAATAGTATGAAAGTGGCTCTATTGTGTCTTGATGAATTATAGAAGATTCAAGGATCAAATATACTTTTCTCTGTGCTACCACAGGACTTTATATATACATAAATGTGGCTTTGCTTTGTGGTATGGTGCTGGGTATTGAACTTAGGGCTTCCTACATATTAGGCAGATATTCTACAGTAGTAGAGTTACATCCCCAGCCAAGATATCGCACTTCGTATGGCATGGTTTCTGTCTTTGGGTTCATGCCCTTGTGTGATACTCAAAACATTCTGACTGTTCCAGTTACATCTCTAATCATTGAACCTCTTCCCTCAATTTTGCACACGTGTTCATATATTAAACTTCAACTTTACTGAATCATATTTCCCCAACATGCCTTTTTTAATACTTCCCCATCTGTCCTTCCTTCCCGCCAACTGTGCTTAAATCAACCTCAATCCCTGGTCTCACTGTCATCCATTCTGTTTGGTGCTAGATAAACCTCAGCACAGAACTCTAAACTCAAGTGCCATTCCTTGGCATAGAATGTTGCATGTACACGCATATGTGTGTGTTTTACCAGAGCACACACAAGCACTTTAGCAGATGGTCATTCAACTGCTCCATTTAGGACTTACCTAGAATTCTTGCATAAAGTTGGATTCCAGGATTAAATTGTGTAGTTCCTGAATTTTCAGGCAGTGACATACTGCCTCTGGTATCAATTTGATTAAACTTGATAACTTTAATGCCATTTGGTTCTATTGGGGAGAAAGAATTTAATTGCTTACTCTAGAGAATGGATTTTTTCCCCACTGACTAAGGAATAGAACATTTATTAAGATTATCTTTGTGACCTGAAAGGGAGAAATGTACTTCTTTTTCCTTAAAAGAAGCACGTCCAGGGCATTTTTAGCATGTGGTAAAAATTGAATAATTGGGCAATACTGTCTTCTTTGGGATTCAGCCTTCTAGCCCCTGCTGTGTGATTAGTTCTGTCCAACCTGCTGGCGTGCTTGAGCAGGGAGCCTGCAGAGGATAAGGAAGGAAAAACCCTTTAGCAAGTCTCAGGTAGTAAAGATGTTTGATTTAATTTCACATTACACATGGTTATATGGTTTCCCTTGGCAACCTCCAGTTCTGCCCTACTTTATAATCAGAGGATGGCAGGATACATTGCACACTTGTCATCACTTGGAAAGGGAGTGTAGAGAACAAAATTTGTCTCAAAAGAAGAGACAAAAAGGTTACTAAAAAGAACAGAGGAATCTGATATACCTTCAGAAAGAAATAGATGGTTCTCTGTAGATTTCATTGATGAGAGAGATTCTAGAACTATCTATAGCAGTTTGGGGATATGAAGGAATGAGACCTAATTCTATAAATATTTTAAGGGGTAAAAGAGTTATATTTACAAATTAGAGATGAGTTTTCATTTTAACAACAATAATAGTTACCATTTAATAAGTACATGATAGGAATCTTTGGTAACTTCCATACATGATTTCATTGAATTCTCACACTATTCCTGCCAAGGAATTATTAATATCCCTGAATAGATGAAGAAATAATTGTTTATTGATCTCTTAAAGTATGAGGCTGGAGGAAGTGTGAGACAACATGATTTCAGTTTTGGAGACCATTTATTTTTTTCCATCATCTTAAAAATCTTAAAATCCTATCAGTCCTTCCTTCCTTTCTTTCTTCCTTCCTTCCTTCTTTCCCCCCTTCCTCTTCCCCCTCTTTTTGCCAGGGCTTGAACCTAGGGATGCTTAACCATTGAGCCATATCCCCAACTCTTTTTAAAAATATTGTATTTAGAGACAGGGTCTTACTAAGTTACTTAGGGTCTTGCTAAATTACTGAGGCTAGCTTTGAACTTTTGATCCTCCTGCCTTAATCTCATGAGCCACTTCGATTACAGGTGTGCACTACCATGCCTGGTTCACAATCCTATCAATCTTAATAGCATTTACTGTAAAGCAGTATATTAACTGATGTCTACTAATGATAACATTCAGCCCCTTCAGAAAAGTTTAAATTTTAATAATCTTAGTCCAACTCTATAATTTTACATATTAGGAAATTGAATTCCAGAAATTAAGTGGAGCGTAAAACTAGGTTTTCTAATTCCTAGTAATCTATGAGTTGTATATGCCCATACACTTTGAAATAGGGGTTCAATAAATGGAAGGAAATAAGAGGTCTTGTAGTACTTTAAATGGTATTAGGCTGAGGTAGCATGCAGAGTAAAAACAATAAATCAGGCATTGGGAAGAGTTCTTACTTAGTTGGTGATTAGTTCATTCTCCTTGACTCAAGTCTGAACGTATTAATATGCCTCATATTTTCAATGATCACAGGTCTTTAGAAGTGTCTGGTGTTCTTCCAGTCATTTGAGGGAAGACCTGTTTATTGAAAAGGAGAGGGGCTGTACATAAGTATCTGTGTGTGTGTGTGTGTGTATGTGTGTGTGTGTATTGCCATGTCGTGAAGTAAATGTGAATGCTAATGACTGGCCATTTTTGTGACCTGTGAAAGCAGAGACTATGGTATTAATATTATTGACTTGTTCACAAGATGCCATACAGTGTGGGCAGGCTATGTCATTACCTTTTACTGAAGTGAAAGCTGTGGGAATCTAACGGAAAACTGGGAAATCTCGGTGGCACATATTTACTATGCAAAGCATTTTACATGAATTTTATTTACTTCTTATAACTTCAGTGGTTATAAATGTTATCTTCATTTTTAACAGTTTTTTTATTAATCCTTCCTAGAACATTCGCCTAACACTGTATTATGAGAATTTTTAAATGTATAGAAAAGTTTAAAGAATTGTTAACAAACATCCCAAGGCCAATTGGATTCTACAGTTGTTACTTTTATATATATATTTGCTTTATTATATATCTGGCCATCCATTTATCTACCCAAAAATCCATCTTAGTTTTTGTTGTATTTCTTGGTGAGTTGCAGACGTTACTACATTTAACTCCTGAACATATAAGTGAATATCATGAAATAGATAGAGTTAAAAATGTTTTCCTTAACTGAATAAACAAAAACAAAAAAACTGGAACCTTCAGTTCTGTGTTTTGGGAACTATGTATTCAGTCCCTTTGAGTTTTCTCCCATGAAATAATAAGGTATTTTAAGAAAAAATGTAATTTACCCATGTTAAAAATCACTCATACTTCATTAATGAAAAATAGAAACATGTAAAAGGAGGGGGATACCCCTGAATTCATAGGCCACAGCAGCTCAGCACTGCAAAGAAATCTTACCCCATTTCTGATTTTAAATAAGACTGAGGTCACTGCAAAATTTTTAAACTCAACTCCTCTCCTAACAAGGGAAGTTAGATTAGCAAATTAGTTAAGCACTTCAGTAATGATATTGGAACTTAATTTCACTGAACTTTTCCCCTTTTCTCTTCTTTCTGGGTGTGACTAAATTGCCTACAGCATGCTGCATGGTTGCTGGTAAAACAGGAAATGGGGTAAGTAATTTAGGTAGGGAGTTTTTAACCACCATTTAAATACAAGCTATCTAATTCTTAAATACTTTTACTGCTACTGCCTCTCTCTCTCTCTCTCTCTCTCTCTCTCTCTCTCTCTC